AGGATGAGCACCAGGACTCGTTTTGAAAATGAGGCCAAGAGTAGTTCGGAAATGGGCTATTCCATAATTCTCTTTTAACCCTGAAGTGTCCGATCACAGTCGCTATGAATCGCACACTTTAAGTCCATAAATCTCGGCTCCCGTTACAGAGGTCCAGCTGATCCTGTAGTTATGATATTCTCCACAGAATCAACGATTCATTGTCACTTGATGTAAATGTTTACCTCCGTGAATAACACCAATCCTGGAATTTTATAATGCAATGCAATACAGCACATAACGGAAGAGGAAATATTTATCGGCATGAATTTATACAAACACCGTACCCCTAAGGATTTATTTTCAATGGGTGTATTTCTCTAAATTTTCTTTTAATCCTGTAATGAAACCCCATGACACATTTTAATCTATCCTCGTTTGGATATCTCTTGGAGGCTTGTGTTCGAGTTCACGGCAATATCGGTCACCGACATTACATATCTCTCCCTACAAATCGGCCAGCGAATTGATTGACCCTAAAATTGCATTCCAAATAACTCAAGGCGTAGATGACATGTACATGGTTCTCAAATCCCTGTTTTATCTGAGTTTCCAGTTGTAGCGGCCGACACAAGCGAATCAAATTTTCAACGACAACTATGAGTTTCGCAAATGAAGACACTATGAAGCGAGGATATATTTTACGGACAAGCCTTGAATCGTTTTATTTAACGTAGTCGAGGTATCTAAGTACTTATCAGATACAATGAAATATATGAAGTTCATATATTTGAACTGCGGTATTAGATACGTATGATGCACGATCCTCGCAGTAGATAGCGCTATTTAAGCAATAGCGAAAATCAGACCTGAAAGAAATCAGACTTGTACGGGTTTATTTCGAATCAACTTAACGGCCCGCTCCCAGTTGGCTTGTTAGCTCAATTGGTAGAGCGCTGCACTAGTATCGCAGAGGTCAGTGGTTCGAGTCCCGTACAGGCCTGATTTTTTTCAGGTCTGAATTTCGCTATTGCTCAAATAGCGCTATCTACTGCGAGGATCGTCCATCATACGTATCAAATACCGCAGTTCAAAATATATGATTTTCATATATTTATTCTATCTCATTTATCACTTTCACGGGTTCATTACGAATCAACTTAACGGCCTGCTCTCAGTTGGCTTGTTAGCTCAATTGGTTAGAGCGCTGCACTAGTATCGCAGAGGTCAGTGGTTCGAGTCCCGTACAGGCCTGATTTTTTTCAGGTCTGAATTTCGCTATTGCTCAAATAGCGCTATCTACTGCGAGGATCGTCCATCATACGTATCAAATACCGCAGTTCAAAATATGTGATTTTCATATATTTATTCTATCTCAACTTAATTCATATTTCTCACGACCAAGGATCGGAGCGGCTGGCAAATACAGATCCAAGTTTATTAGATGACTCGAACGAAGGAAAAAAGCTGCACAACCGGGAAATTTCTTCATTTAATGAAGGAAATGAACAGCAACACGACAACGCGCCAATTCCGTTCCGCTTCGTATACCTCTGTTACGCATCCTCAGTAAACAAATATCCGCGAAATTCGCCCGCACTGAAATAACAATTTGGCGTGTAGGATAATGAATAACTTATTAGAAGTTTTGTTGTGT